TTGAGAAAGAAGTAGCAGGTGAAAATAGAGCTGAAATTGATAAGTTTGGAAAGAATTTGGTGTATTCAAGAAGATTAAAGGCCATTCCCGAATCAACAAATGTCCAAGAGACCGATCCAAGTCCTTTAACACAGGTAACAAATTCTCATTTTTCTGTTTTACATGATGTTCCAGCCCCACATAGTGAAATAGGAACTCATTAATTAAAGATAGCCATGACCTTCTAATTTCCATTAGAAAGGGGGGGTTAGAGAATGTACAAAAACACCAGTATATCCTCTCTCAAATTATATTTCATTTCAAAATTTTTCTCAAACCTATAAAACCTTTCTTGCAAACTTAAATACCATCCAAATTCCCACTAATGTTTCTGAGGCATTATCCGATAAAAATTAGAAACATGTTATGGATACATAAATGGAGGCATTAAAAAAGAATAAAACACGACAGTTGGTTGCTTTTCTAGAAGGGAAGAAACCAATTGGCCGCAATTGGGTGTATATAGTAAAATACAAGGCTGGTGGGACAATTGAGAGATACAAAGGTAGGCTGGTTGCTAAAGGTTTCACACAAACCTATGCCATTGATTATTCATAAAATTTTTCTCCAGCGGCAAAGATGAGCACAGTTCGAGTTATATTATCCATTGCTGGCAATTACGGGTAGGAATTACAAAAATTCGATGTGAAAAAGACATTCTTACATGGAGAGCTTGAGGAAGAAATTTATATGGAGATCCACCAGGATGTAAGAAAAATGTTGCTGCCAATTCTGTTTGTAAGTTGCAAAAGACATTATATGGATTGAAATAGTCACCTCGGGCATGGTTTGGAAGGTTTACTAAGCCTATGACAACATTAGGTCACAAAAAAAGTAATGGAGGTCATACATTGTTTATTAAACACTCAACTTCAGGGGGAGTAACATCGCTGTTGGTATATGTTGATGACATTATTGTGACTGAAAATGATTGGAAGGAACAACAAGTCTTGACTCAATATTTAGCAAAAGATCTTGAAATTAAAACCCTTGGAAGGCTGAAGTATTTTTTAGGAATATAGGTGGCTCACTCAAAAAAGGGTGTTTTCATTTCTCAACAAAAGTATATCATAGATCTGCTCATGGAAACATGTAAGCTAGCTTGTAAACCTGTGGGCAACTCTATTGATCTAAGCCATAAGTTAGGCAATATGGAAGAAGGGGCGGTAGTGGATAAGGAAATGTATCAAAGATTGGTTGGCAAATTAATTTACCTTTCCCATACTAGGCCAGACATAAGCGTGGTTAGTCAATTTATGCATAGTTCAAAGGAAGTTCATTTACTTGCAGCTCATGGAATTTTCTAATATCTCAAGGGAACTCCAAGAACAAAGATTTTGTTTATAAGGGACGAAAGTACTACTCTTGAAGCATATATAGATGTCGATTATGCGGGTTCGACTATTGATCGGAGGTCAACTACAACGTATTATACATTTCTTAGAGGAAATCTTGTAACTTGAAGATGTAAAACACATAATGTTGTGGCCTGATCTAGTGCGGAAGCTAACTTTTGAGCTATGACACAAGGTATTTTTGAATTACTTTGGTTGAAGATTACTTTAGAGGATTTGAATATTAAATGGGATGTACCTATGAAGCTCTTTTGTGATAATAAGTCATCAATTAGTATAGCTCACAATCCAGTTCAACATGACTGAACAAAACACATTGAAATGGATATACATTTTTATCAAAGAGAAGCTTGATTGCAGTTTGAGTTTTGCACTCCATATGTTCCTACACAAGGTGAACTTGCGGATGTCTTCACCAAAGGATTGAGTTGCCCAAATTTTGAAAAAATTGTGTCCAAAATAGAAATGGAGAATACCTATTCACTAGATTGAAAGGGAGTGTTATAAATCGAATAATTTAATTATGCATTTTTCCAAGTAGTTAATTCATTGCACACCAAATTCTATGCATCTTGGTAAATTGTATTAGTTTAATTCCTTTCTTGTAAATTGCACATAATTACTATTACTCTTGTAAGTTGTAACAAAATGATTATAAATTAAGTCTTATGCTGAGAGCAATGTATCTAAAGCACATTCACAAACATTTTTTCTTTATTTTTTTCACACATTCATATATTTTATCTTGTGATTTTTTCAATAATTATTAGAGAAAATAGGTGATACATTGATGGTGTAAAGTACTTTTATACCATCATCTAATAAACAACATACATCATGTCACATCATACTTATAATTTAAAACAATTTAGATGATTTGGTATATTGTTGATTTCTTTTGGACGACCTTAAAAATTTCTGCATGTCCATTAAATTATAATTATTAGGGAATTTCTTAATGCATCCTATATGTTACTTAGTGTCGTACCTCAAAAAAAGTACGATCCTTCGCGAAGCGCAATCACACGCTTGCAGGACAGACTAACAGAGTCGTCACCAAACTTTATTTATTTCCATAAGGGGAAAGAGAAAACATCGATAAAACCCCTATACGAAAAAAGAAGACATGGTCATCGTAACCAAGATTCTAAGCTCGGGAGTCGGTTACATGAGGGGAAGACATTAACACCCCATCACGTCCGTTGTACTCAACGGGAACCATTAAGTTAGATGTGCATGTTAACGCCTGCTTCTAAGTGTTAGGCTTCTCAAGTTGTTAGGAAGGAAAAAAAGGGACCAAATGGTTTATTTTCCAAGGGTGCTCGCCAAGATCATCGCAATCTCATGCCTATGTATCCTCATAGTGCAATGAGGAAGTTAGAGCAATCGTAGTTCGGGGTACTACGATTGAAGAACACTTTACTGTGGTCAAGGTTCCAAGGGGAAGTAAGTATCCATAGCCATAACACTTACATAGAGTTTACAAACTCTACTAAGTCTAAGTTAAAAGACTAACTAAGGATTGAATCTAACAAGGTCAAAGAGGAAAGTGAATACTCATAACAATGATACTCATATAGAGTTTACAAACTCTATACCTAACTCTAAGTTGCAAGATAAAATTGACTCTAACAAGGTCAAAGAGGGGAGGTAAGTACTTATAAAAATAGTACTTGCATAGGGTTAACAAACCCTAACCTAAAGCTAGGTTGAAGACGGAAGATGACTCTAACAAGGTCAAAGGAAAGAGCCACTTGATGTTGGATCAAGTGTTTCAAAATGTTTGGTAGATCCTAGTCCCTAGGGGTGCTCCTAGTGAATGAAACCATAAAGAAAAGGTACAAGTGTGTGCATTAGGTTGATGGCGATGCTAACAAGCAATCGACTTACAAGGGTATTTTGAAAAGTGGCTCGACATCGAATTGAGAATTAGTTTGAAAATGGTTTAGTCTATGCTAGTTCCTAAGGGTGCTCCTAGTAAGCAAAACCACAATCAAAGAAAAGCAAATAAAGAACATACATCGAAAAGGGAGCGGGGTACATGTAAAGTACACGAGATTGCGAGAAATAAAAGGTTTTATTGTCAAGTAGCCCAAGAGGAAGCTGTATATGTGTAAATTTCCTAAGCTAAAGTAATAGAGAATAGAGATAACCAAGATCCACAACTCCTTTTCTAGGGTTTCTGTACAAGATCTAAACTCCAATGCTCGAGATAGTAACCACAGTCCACCAATTGATTGTTTTTAGGGTTTCAATAGTTTTATAATGTTTTTTTTGTGTTTTTTTGGGTAAGATGAACAAGATAAGAATGATATGACAATATATGAATAAGATGAGCAAATGATAATATGAACAATATAATGAGCAAGATAATATCAACAATAGTATATGAACAGTTATATATTGACAGAAAGATAAAACAAGGATATATTGAATAGAAATTAAAGTTAGTGGTTAGTCGTGAATCAATATAAATTGAATCATAAAAAATAATTGGAATTTGGAATGGGCTGAGCCAACAATATTCAATGGCACGGTTTCTAAACACGGTTTGAAGAAATAACAATGGCAACAAACATGTTCATTATCAGGTTTTTATAAAAATCAACAAATAAAGTTCATCATCACTTTCACGGTAAAAAAAAAAAGAAAACCAAACTCCATTTTAACACAACGACTCATAACAAAAATGACACGATGTGAAGCTTAACCCTCTTATTCGCATAATCTGTCTGCATGTCTTACTCGCTCGATCTGCTGCGGTTCTCGCACGTTGCTCATATTTTATTTTGATTCACTTTTGCTCAATTTCTCTCTCTCTCTCTCTCTCTCTCTCTCTATCTCTCTCTCTCTCGGTTTGTTTTGGGTGTTTGAATGTAGGTTTAAGGATTTTGAGGGAGGAAAGGTTGAAGAAGGTTTGATATTTGGATTCATGAAGAGTGATTCGAAGGAGAAAAGGTCTCGTTGGCTTGGTGTTGATGAATTTATGGGTCGAGATTATGTATGATGAAGGATTGTTGTGTTCATATTTGGGTTTTTTTGAAGAATGGTTGTGGAAGCCATTCGTGAATAAGAAACATGTTGAGTTTTTATGAGGTAGGGAGACTTCAGAATGTTTTCCCCAGGCTGCCCACCGAGGAATCAAATACCTTAAATCCTATTGAACAACTTGTAACCGTTGCGTGACACCACCTATTAGTCCTTTTTTCCTCTGTTCTTGCAAGCTGGAATTTTCGTAGTGGTTGTTGTAGCAGGTCGTAGGAAGGTCCCAGTTTTGTCGCGTGGAAGGCTTGTAGTATCGCACGGTTTTGGTTGAGTGCTTTGCAATTTTGAATTGGCAAGTTGCTTTTGTTTGTGGTGGGGTCAACTTGATTTGAAATTCAGAACTTATTTTGTTGTATGTGTTTTGTTTTGTTTTTTTCAATTTTCTCACTTTGTTCACAGGTTGTGTTTATATTGAATTGTGCTGTTGAATCATACGCATGAAAAATCAGATGTGCATTCATACGGTTGTGTCTGTGTATGCAGGGTGTGATGAAACATTGGGAATGGCTGCAATTTGATGCAGGTGTGTGTTGCTGGGGTCTGATGTTATGGTCGTGTTGGCTATTGAAATGGGAGTGGCAATGTAAAGCTTGTGTCAGGGCGAATATGAGTTCCCTTCATTAGTTCAAAATATGACAAAGCTTTTGAATATCGAGCCCTACTTTTAAATGCAGATAACATAATATCATGAGTGACGAGATCTGGTCCGACTTTATTATCAGTCATTTTCTTGCAAACATTATGTGCTTCTTTCCAATTTCCACTAGATCCATAAGCACTAATCAATTGTTGTACATTGACGAACTTGGTGGAATAGCTGCACATAGCATGTCGTCCATGATATTCATAGCCCAACGCCATTGTCAAGCACGACCATGCACATTAATAAGAGTGTTGTAAGTCTCAACATCAGGTTTAGACCTGCATTTTTGCATTTAAAAAAACAACCCATGTGCCTAGTCCATTCTATTATGCATAGCCTGCAACCTAATCATCACGTTGTATATATCTGATCTAGCACAATAATTCTTCTGATTCTTCATCCAGCTAAAAACTAAGTTACATTGTTCAATTGAACCTCTCTAAGTCAACTCCCTAATGAGGAAAGGGAAATTCTTGTGAGCGAAATGACCTATCCAGCGGTTGAGTAGACCTTCAACATCATCGTCACTGAGGCTGAGGGAGAGGACTGAGTCGTGTTGCAGGATTTTGTCTAGCATGGAGAGTGGTGCGAGGTTATGCACAGGATTTGCATTTGGTTTGTAAGGTCATTGTGGTCACACGAGTTGTGGAAATTTTTTATTGTACGTAGTATATTTGGTTGAGAAATTTTGTAGCATGTAGTATATGAAAGTGGCTAGAAAAATGTGTGTAGGTGAAGGCTTGGAAAAGTTTTCTCTCTTTTTTTTAAAGTTTGGCTTGGGTAAAAAAAATGGACTTGGGCTTTAATATTTTCAAGGGCCTTTTGATTTTTTGGGTGATGAATATTGTAATAAAAAATGGATATAGAATGTATTTAATGAAAAATGGTTTAGAAGATTAATATATGGATAATTAAAAAGGGATAATTGAAATAAAAAATGATTAATTGGGATGGTGTTTGGAAATGGATATGAATTGGATATATCAAACAAATGGATTTTTCAAAATGGATTCGGATTGGATTGAATTTGGAACTCGAAATTGAACTTGAATTTGATTGAAGTAATTGAACTTGAAATATGGACTCGAAAATTAATTGGAATGAAATTGAAATAAGACATGAAACTTGCTTGCAAAACTTGAAATGCGATGAGGTTCAAACTCGAATCTTAAATTGAAACATGGACTTGAACTTGCACTCTTCATTGGATGCTTGAAACTTAAACCATGAGAATTCTTACACTTTCCATATGAAATAACTTAGCATCTTGAATCAATTCCTTGGGGAAGATAATCAAACATAACTTGATATAGAGCTAGAAATGCATTGAAACTTTGAATCAGTTCCATGAGAAATAACACCACATCCAGATTCCACCTTGAAATGGTCTTGGAAAGCTTGAATTCTCCTATGAAAAGAACATGACCCACATAATCAGGGCTTGCAAAATTTGACCAAACACATTGACTTTTGATAACTCTGTAACTTGACTTCATCAGATAAACCTTGATTCGACACAAAATCCTAGTCTGTATCCTCAAACACAAACACTTGAATTCAATTCACACTTATCTCCAAAATAGCCATTAACACAGATGACTCGAGATATGAATTGTGTTGCTAATGCATCCAAACCCTAATTTGAAAGTGAACTGAATTCTAATGATTTCCCAACCATGAAACAACTGCATTTGCCAAAGTATGATAACTTGATATTGAAGCAACCAACTTCTTTGACCAAGATTAGGTTAAACTCCACTGAATTTCAAACAACACTATGCACACACTAGACCTGATAACTCAGCCTAAACCTTGATTCGATCTTTCAAGACCTGAGCTTAGGCAACAATAAAAGCAAAAAGACCGAGTTTGGCCGCACAATAAATAATTGGTATGATGCACAAATGTTATGATTTGTATTGGCTGGCAATTCAGGGTTAAAATTAGGGTGTAACAGTTGCCGCTATTTAAATATCTTCAACTAGAGAGTATGAAAAAAGCTATTATTCATATGATCTAAGTGGGAGATAGTTAAATATTAAGAAGACCCAAATTTTGATCCTGAATGCATATGACATGTTATGTGATGCGTGTATGCAGGACTCTATTTTATTGGTTTGGGACATGAAACAAACTTTGTGATTGTCGAGATGATTGAAAATGAGGCTTGATGGGGATTGAATGAAGTAGGGTAAAATGACTCACTAGGGAAACTTGAGGAAAATGGTTAGTTCTGGATTCTCACGGAACCAACCAAAAGTTACTAATAAATTAAGTAATGAAAGGCAAACTATGGATTCTCAGGGAGAAAAATGAAATTGTAAATTGTAGACAAAAGACCTTATATTCTCACAAGATAGTTGAAGTGACTCTGGCTTCTCACAGAAAATAGAGATATGTTACAAATTCACATACAACCATCTGAAATGACTCCGGGTTCTCACAAAGTGAAGAAAAGGTTATGGCTTTTCACAAAATAAAAGATAGGTTACATGTTCTCACATAACCATCTGAAATGACTCCGGGTTCTCACTGAGTGAAGAAAATGGTTCTTGCTTCTTATAGAACAAAACATAGGTTACAAGTTCTTACATAACCATCTGAAATGACTCTGGGTTCTCACAGAGTGAAGAAACAGATCTTGACTTCTCACAGAATAAAAGATAGGTTACGGGTGTAACACCCCCTTCTGTACCCCAAAATAAACAAATAAATCACATAATAAAATTTCATCAGAGTAAATTTGAAACATGGTATAAAAGAAGTATGCCACATCATGCATAAAATAACATACAACACCTGCTCTATAAAAAAAACATGTAACAATGGGGTAGCTTCAACAGAGGAACTCAGTCCTTACACCCACAACTCAATATTTAGAATTAAAGCGGAAAATCTAAACATTGAATCACTTAAAACATGTAATTATATAAATACATATCATTCAGTTTGTTTTATCACATCATTCATGTTTACATAAACATTTTCCATTAGATACATTTACAAATGTATCTCAAAAGAATGCTATACAATCCTAACTACCCGGTGCTACATATCAGAGCTGACCGACAAAAGAATGAAGCTATACTTCACAAAAGACCTCCAGCAACCTAATCTGCAATGCCTCATAGAGCATTATAAAACAGCAGAAGGGTGAGAAATATTATCATAATAATCAATGCATATAATTATATATACTTACACAAGTACAAAATACATATATTCCACGTTTTCTCACCACAATTCATTCCAATCATGATATACATCACAACATATGTATAAACAAACATGGATAATCACCAAGCACATTTCATCATGCATACATCCATAATTCTCAATTCAATACTTCACATACGGGTATACTTTCATACGACAATACACATTAATCATGTGACTAAATGCAACTTAATGCAACTCATGCCATGTGGTACCAACACTTGTTATCATTTTTCGGTTTTTACACTTAAACCGGGTCCACCCTTCTAGACTGATAACAACAAAATCTCGTTCCCTAAGCTTTCAAACCCACCCTTCTAGGTTTGGGACAAGTCACTAGTCTCCACGAAACTAGCAAACATTGCCTCTTGACTAAATGATGCATATGCAATCAACCACCAAATGCACTTAAGACCGTTGCCGCATCTTAATCCCATGCATTCAAATAATTCATCACTCAAGAATTATAACATGATTGCACACACAACATATTCATATTCAATAACATCATATTCATCGAGCAATGCACACATATTCACAATATGTTCCCATGCATTCTTCACATACTATAACATATATATATATATATATATATATATATATATATATATATATATATATATATATATATATATATATATATATATATATATATATATATATATATATATATATATATATATATATATATATATATATATATATATATATATATATATATATATATATATATATATATATATATATATATATATATATATATATATATATATATATATATATATATATATATATATATATATATATATATATATATATATATATATATATATATATATATATATATATATATATATATATATATATATATATATATATATATATATATATATATATATATATATATATATATATATATATATATATATATATATATATATATATATATATATATATATATATATATATATATATATATATATATATATATATATATATATATATATATATATATATATATATATATATATATATATATATATATATATATATATATATATTCATAACATCGTGCCAAACGACAACAAACCTCATCACAATTCATTATATACACCAAAAGGCCACATTTCATAATCAATTCCACAATCTAGGATTCACGCCTTACGGCTACCCACAACATATGTTTCACAACACACAATTACTTATTTCCAACAAGGATCGAACACAATCGAACCAAGAAATCAACATAGGATGGAATCTCAAGAAAACCAAATGCTGTCACGCTCGCTAGCATGCTCGCCTAGCGAGTGCTCGCTACTTGTTCGCCTAGCGAACAAGCTCGCGAAGGCAAACAGAAGCTACTGACTTTGTTCGCTACCTCGCTCGCTTAGCGAAGGCCTAGAGAATGCTCGCTACCTCGCTTGCTTCCAGCGAAGAAGACCAATTCCATTATGTCCAAGTTTGGGACCTCTCGCTACCTACTCGCTACAGCTCACTGCAGCGAACGCTTGCGACCAGCTCGCCTAGCGAACGTGCTAGCGAGTGTCTGCGAACTCAAAAACCCTCACTGTAATCAATCCTCAACTCTTCACAAATCAACCAATTCTCACCAAACCAGTTCCTATAGTCTTAGTCTAACATCCTTCGACTAAAATACACAGTTTATTCTCGATTTTAACCATTAAAACTTCGATTCTACCGATTAAACTCATTTATGCCCTAGAATGGAAAATGGAGAAAACACCCAAACGATCCATGCAATCCATACATAATCATAAACATTGATAGAATAACAACATTTCACACCCTTACCTCGATTAAATCGATCTCAAAGAGTTGATTTCGAGCTTTCCAAGCTTTTCCTTCTCTTTTCTCCTCTTCCTCTTTCTTTCTCTTCTTTTTCTCTTATGTTTCTATGTTTTTCCTTTTCTTTCCACTTTCCTCTTATATATCTTTCTCTTTTATTTCCTTCCATTATATTCTTCTCTCAATTATCTACCAA